TAAATAACAACTACATAATACAACAATCATCTAACCGCCGTCGCCGCACAGTGAATTGGATAAAAGTGTCCCAAGTTAATTTCGTAGTGAATTGTAGAAGTGTTGTTCCGTTCAAGTGGAAAATTATCTGTAAATGATTCCAATGTCAATCATTTGAAAATTGCAAACAAAACGAAATTGTGAAAGCAACAGTGTTTTATAAGGGAGCTACCCCACCCCGAGTAAAATATTTGCAAAAGAAAATCTTTGTGTTACCGCCTTTGGATTATACATACCCATAGCCATCATCATCGTCATCATATCCTCAACATCTCTGCCGTCGTTCTATTGTGATATCTCTCTACACATTTTTTGGGATACATATCAAAGAAATGTATGTATGCAAGTGTGTGTGTGCGTGTGTTTATGTGTTAAAATGCCACAAAAAATCAGAATGATGTAAAAATAACAACAACAAAAATTGCAAAAATTATCACCAACAATAGCAGCAGGGCAGGGCAGAGCATCGACCAACAGCAGCAACACCAGCAGAGCAACAGTGTTCACAAAAACATTCCTTTGCAAAATGCCAACAACAACGACAATAGTAACAAAGACAACTACAACAACAACACCACCACTAATATGAGCGAGCTTGCAATTCAAGTTTAGCTGAAATGATGAACAAAAAAAAACAGATTCTTAAAGTTGCGCTTTTTGTTTGCCTTTATTTTGCTTCAATGGCGGTGGTTGTTGTTACTGCTGGTGCTGTTGTTGTTGTGGTTGTTTAAGGAAAGAAGAAGCAAAGCAAATCCAGTTTTTATATTTTTCAAGTTTCCGATTTCTCTTTTTTCGCTGGTTTGTTTTGCCTCGAAATGTGCGTATCATCAACGGTCGGTCCGTCCGTCCGTCTGTCTGTGCAATGTTGTCGCTTTTTTCTTCTTCTGAGACACCTTCCTCATCAAGAAGAAGAAGAAGAAGAACGAACCAAACATTCTGTTGCTTATCAACATATCCATCTGCCAAAACAATAACAACAACAACAACAACAGAAACTAACTACCATTACCACCCAAACCCGAATTCCATGCAAATCATCGAAAATGTCACACCAATTGGTTGATGAGGGAAGAGAGGAAGATGAGAGAGAGAGAGAGACAAATTGAATTGAGATTTGACTAAAATATCTGCAAGGGAATAGTGAACCTTAATCGGTATTTTATACGGATGGAATTTCGCAAAAGGAAGTGATGAAATTCCTTGATATTGTTAAGGGAAGTTAATGCAATGGACAATAATAGCTGCAGTAATTAAAGGAATTGTTGAAACTTAAATCGAAATTAATGCAAAAGGATGAAAATAAGTACATCACAGAAAAATATGTAATTGTCTTCAATCCAAGTCTAATTAAGGCTGAGCGATTCATTTCTATAGATGAAAGCTTTTGACTTATTAGAAATAAAATAAATATTGAACAATGAAATGCCTACCTTAGGGGCCAATTTTGTAAAATAAATTACCGGTTAATAGGACTAGTAAAAATGTCGTTATATTGGATCGGACAGAAATTTTGAAATATGACGTGATCTTTGTATGCACTAAGGTGATGGAATGAACCTCTCTGTCATTACCTCTAAAAATGTGTTATCTTCGTGACTATTAAAAGTTCCTTCGAAGTGGCTGTTATTTGGTAGTCCAAAAATTTGGAGAATAAAGACTTCCCCAGAGAAAATCTATATTAATAAAATACTTGAAGAATCATCAACGTCAAGACGAAACGGCTGAAGCCGTGGATGAGGCTCAGTCTTGGTCCGAAAGTGTCAGATAAGTCTAAGTTTTTGGAAATTCATACTAGAACGGCGCGAAAGTGAGTTAGAACTCTTAAATTTGGAATTAGGACCACTGATGGATTTTAGGATATATCTACTAAAGGGATTTTTTTTTACTATAAGTAACCAAAATGTACTAAATTTTGTACACTTTCGTAACATCTGAACGGATAGGGCAATAAACTTTAAATTTGGAATGCGAATCAAGTAGGGTCGATATAAGGAGGTGGTTTTGGAAGTGTATGCGAAAAGTATTAAAAATTACTAAATTTGGTACAATTTGAATTCGGAGCATCACAGTGTAGAATAGTGATGCTAGTAGGTTTAAAAAATCGTACTTTTTTATACGAAACGGTACTAAATTTGGTACAATTTTGATTATGAACCGATAGCTCTGAAATCCAGAAACATGGAGTTAGGATGGAGTTGGTGTAGGATTGGGGTATAGGTGAACCAACAGAGCTGGAATCCTGAAATTTGAAATTTAGATAACTTTTGGAGTGTAGAATTGAGGTATATATATAGTTTTGAAATTCGTACTTTTTTGTACGCAATGGCACTAAATTTGTTATTGGTATTTGTTTGCTTATGCGTATTAAATGGTACTGAATTTGATAAAATTTGGATTTAGGTAAAACTTGAAGCTTACATGTAGAAGCTTAGGTGACAGAGCTTAAATTCTAAAATTAGGATTTAAAATTGAGGTATGTCGGAAGTTTTGGAAATTCGTACTGATGATTATTAAAGTAGGTAGCTATGGACATTATATTAATGTGTACTAAATGTTACAAAATTTGGATTTGGGTTAACCTATATTTGAAATTTGGTACAATGGAGAAAGGGCCAATGGCAAAGGTGGGACAATTTTGAAAATTTTCTGCGAAGATATTTTTTACCACGAAACAGGAATGCCAAACTGTAGTCATTTATGTAGGTTGATGAGTGTACGGCCATCAAAATGTCCAAAAAGCTATCAACCTTCCAAGAACAGGAGTGCCATACTATAGCCCTCTCGATTGGAAAATAACGTTAGAGCCTTCAAAATATCAATCTATAACAACTATACATTAGCTTGGCCCGATATATCCCAATTCTAATCATCCCCGGAGTAATACTGGGGGCCAAGCAAAATCACAATTTCTGGAAATTATTCGAATAGCATATTGCAGGCGTGTCTGATGGTCAAAAACCATTAAAAAACCAGCAAAAGACAAAAAATTATTAAAAACAAAAAAAGATTTAACCATTTTTAATCCTTTAGTCTTTTTTGGGCTACAGGGTGGCAATGCATGTGCAACATTTTGAAGCCTTGTCTAAAGATTCCGATCTCTGTTGTGTTTTCAATATACGTTTAGAGTTAAATCGATTGGAGGTGTTGTACCTTCCAGCTTATAGTAGAATATAACAAATCGTAGGATCAACTGCAATGCAATTTAAAATAAGTCCAAATAAAATTTGGCAACTCCAATCGATAATCGCAAAAAAGAATTTACGATAAACTCTCATCTATTCCCCTTTTATCAAATTGGTTGCAAACGAACATGTTGTTGGTGGAACACAAACCAACAATAATAACAATGGTAACGAAAGAGCGAACAAAATAAACAAACAAAAATCCACCACGACTACAACAACAAACCTGCCAGCAAAGAGGCAGCACCACATGCCAGGCAGCTAGGCAGTGAGTGAGTGGATGGAGTGTTAAGCTCGAATCCAAGCCAGATTCAAACTTCAACTCCAGTCTTTGCAAACAAACGGTTCGATACGATCGCAAAGAGGGAACACTACGGAATATACGGACAATCACACAATTAAATAAAAAATACATCAAAGCAAGTGGAACACAGAGAAAAAAGAAACTAGAAAAATTCCATTACAATTGAAAACAAATTGATTGATGGAAGAAAATTGAAATTGTATTGTTTTTATTGAAAATATTTGAAAACATCTGAAAAAATAATTCAACAAAATGTGAAGGAGAAAACGGGAAAAAGTGTGAAAAGTGAGCCGCTATTGTTAACAATAAAATAATTTTTGCAATTTTTGTGATCTCGAATTTATTGCTTTGCATTCGTGTTCTTCATTCGTCTGCCGTTATGTGCTAATTTTTTACTTATGTGTTTTTTCCTTTTTTATTTCCATTTCTTTTCAGTTCATTTTTTGTTTATAATTTTTTTCCTCAAAAAAATTATTTTCAATTCCAATCCAATGAAAGTTTTCGAAAATTTGGCGAAAGAATACAGAAATGATTAATTTTATTTTTGTTGTTTTAATTTCGTTGTGACATCGATCGCCGCCGCCGTCGACGTCGTTGCCGCGAGTGAGTGTCTGCTGTGAAATTGAAATTTTAAACGAAAGACGAATACGAAACAGCTACAAAAGAGAAACAGCAAAAACAAGTTACAAGTTGTTGGTTAGTACGAAGTACGAGTGCGCAAACGATGTTGGCCTAAGTGTGCAGCTGTGTGGCCACATTACAAGAGTCGCGAGTGAGTGTGTGTGTGTGTGCGAGTGAGAATCAACGAGCGAAAAATATTTGAAAAGAGAAAACCTAAAAAAACAACGAAATATTTATAAAAAATAACAACAACAACAACATAAAATAACTACCTTTAGGTGCAATGGAATTCCATGTGAAACATATTGCCAAAAACAACAACAACAACTACAAAAACGAAAACACCATCATCATCCACTCAAGCAATAACCTAAAGAAGGACTAAAACAAAGAAAACACGATCACAACAACAACAACACCACCAACAAAACACAGTGCCAAACAAAAGAAAATTTTTCAAAACAAATTTCCTTCCAAATCAATCAAAAAAGAAAAGAAAAAAAGAACCAATCCATCCATCCAACCAAACAAACAACCGCGATCCAGCAGCGATAATCCAGCAAACAAAATGACCATAATGCCAGTTTAAGAAGTTTGAGATCTTTTGATTTGAATTTATTTTTACTTTTTGGTTTTGTTTTTATCGCTTCTTTCTTTGATTTTGTGATTTTTTATGCCATACAACAGCAACAAGTGTTTTCTATGAAAATTTACGAAACAAATTTCTCTTGCCGTTCTTTTGTGTTATTCTCCAATTCAAAATAATTCTCTTCTATTTTTCTGCTTCTTCACAACAACAACGACAACAATCCGTCCGTTTTGGTTTTGAATAAAAAAAATCCAAATAAAAAATTATGAAGAATAATCAATCGAAAACAGTTAATAACAATAATAATATTAACAACAATAACAATAACTTGCATTATATACACATCAACACTAACAACAACAACAATAACGCCGGCTACAAACTATCCAAATCCGCCTCGTCGCCCAATCATCTCATTGCCCCGCCATCTAAGAAAGGTTTAAAATCCAAATCTAAATCTCATCGCTTAGTTGGTCGCTCGTCCAGCAACGGCAATTACAACAACAACAACAATAATAATAGCAAAAATCACGGCGGAAAAATGGGCGGGGGCACCAAAGATGCCCGTCGCGGCTTAGAACCCCTGGAGTTCGAAGAATGCATTGTCGATAGTCCAGAATTCCGCGATAATCTAAATCGTCATGAAAAGGAGTTGGATCACACTAGTCAACAGATCAAGCGGATCATCAAGGAGGTCAAGGATCTAATGAGTGCTGCAAAAGGTAAGTGAGATTGGATTAATATAAATTAGATTTCATTAAAAAAAAATAGGCAATTAAAATTATTTTTGGAAATAATTTGAAAAATTGTCAGACCTGAGAACATTCGAAACCATTTATGAATGGAAACCCAGAATACTATGTATATGTAATACTATTTGTATGGATATGTGAACCTAGTGATCAACCGCTTAGAGTGATATTTGATACTTAACTTAAATTTCGTAATGGTCGGGTCATAATTTTGAATTCTGGTCGCTCTAAACAAAAAATAAATTTCGACAAGTCAGATAATGCATATATCATTTGGAGCTGGAAATACCGCTTAAGCTAGACTCATATGGAGAGGTCTCCTACTTATCTACTTCTTTTTGAAAATTAGACTACTAAAACCTAAATTCGATATGCACCGACCTATGATTTTATTCCGATCGTGGATAAATATTATTTATGGTTGTAATGAACAAGATTTCCAATTGAATATATTTTTCGAAGTGTCCAGTGTCTTCAAAATGTTTATACCATCCACATCGAAATATTCACCGAAGACCCCATAAACTATATATTTTCCTAATAAAAAGATTCCGTCTATTGCAATCACAATAGACCTCGCAAGATTTGTGGTAAACTTTTGGAACTTTGTACACACACAATGTCACTACTCCTATATTAGGATATACCGGTTTAATTCGGAAATTATCTGGTATTTTTTCAACCGAAGGTGTTGCAATTCCCCATTTTTTAATATTTTAAAGTTGTTTGTTATCCCACCAAAGTGTATGTAATTTGGAATTCCGGTGAATAAAAAATTCTTCTCAGAAAATATTTATTATAGGTCCAGGATTCTACAAGTATCCCGAAGAAGTCTTGGTTATGGCCTCGCTTTCGACAAGTACCCATCTTTCGATATTCCTAGCAGAGGTGGATATGAAATTGTTTAAATGTCGATTGATGTCCGTTGACATGGATGTTTTAAGGTTTGTACCTGAAGTCCTTACGGATGTGTCTAGGTAAAAAAATAACATGTCAAGGTTCAGGTGAATTGCACTGTAACATGACAGCTGAAAATGTCTAGTCATCTGATAATATGTTCAGATAGTTAGGTGCGCTTCGTAGCATGTGGCATATTTGGAGACAGAGCCGCTTATGACATTGTATTTCGTTATCGCTGTCGCCGTTCCATTGCTCTTATTTTTAGGACTTAATTTCAGTTGGGGTTTGTGTGTTTGCTGTGTTATATGAAGTGAAGAAGATTGTCGATTAAGCATTGCGGATTTAGCAGGTTGTATGTCGATAGATTCTAGCAACATTACATTAATTTGTGTTTGTTCCTACTGTAATTCATACCTTAACCTTCGAAGGTAACGGCGATATTGCTCTAGGCAGATCTGCATCTCTAGACATTAGGTCCACTCGGAAATGGCAGTAATATAAAAAGATAAATATAAATAAATATATGTGGGACGATAGTATTCGTATTGGTAGTACGGGATACCATATCAAATAAATATTTATATGCCGTTGTAAATTTCATTTTATAGCATGGTCCTTCGAGCTTCTTAGACATGAATATTTGATTGCATTATAATGATTATCACTTATAGACACAAAATCCAAATATATCCTGGGTTGAACGGTGTTATCACGTGCTTTGAAGTTCAGCTGAAATGTATCTTCAAAATTTGCTATAAAGCAAAATTAATTTCACTCAGTTATTCAAATTTATGTCAACGTTTTAATGTTAGCTTTATTTCATTTCTATATATAATTTCGCGACAAACGTTATCGGTTTGACAAAATCAAATTCATTGATGAGTTCTGTGACGTCATACGATAGGTGGTAAATTTATCAATTGAGATGGATTTTTGTTTTATGGCTATCTGTTGCTTTTTGCCGATATGGTCATAAATAAAACAACAACAATAGTGACGACATGTGTGAGCGTATCGTCGGTGTATTTTTGGTGATAACCTTGTCAATATTTAATGACTAATTTCATAGCATTTAATCAATTGAGTATGGAGACAATGGCTATCTGTTTATTCGGCAAACATCAAATCGATGTGGAAGGTGCAATGCGAGACGAGTCTCTTGAAAATGGATATCAAAAAAGAAAACATAAAAGAGCATAACAATTTCAATATATCAAAGAAAGAAAGAACAGCAACAGAAGTTGTTGAGAGAAATTCTATTGAATATTTCTAAGAATTTTCTTAATCCTTAAAACCATTACTGCAGGGTTTTTGTTTGTTTTGCCAGAGGAAATATTGTTGTACACATTTTTTAAGGACACACATGTTATTTGTTGTTTCTTCTTGTTCTTCCTTTTCAACTGAAATAGCACCCTCTTCCTATATGATAGAGTCTTAGATAACATTACATGATAAGAATAGAGAACATATATCACGTGACGAATTTATGAGGTTGTGGTTACAATTTGTTATGTTATTTAATTAGCAGGTGTTTTCAATTATTTATTTTCTACTTTTCTGTCTAAAAAGATTTTCACACAAAAATAACAAGTAGAAAAAAAAATAATGGTTAGTTTGTTATGAATTTTTAACACTTATTATTCCGAAATTGTAGAACATGATCAACATGTACTCGCAAATTGAAAAGCGAGAAAATTGCTATAGAAAACATTTTTGTGTATACTCAAACCTCAACATCAACGTTCGATCGATTTAACATATGAAAAGACTAATTACATTCCTCACTTTCGAATTTCGGTTGAATACAGAACATGGCAAAGGTCAAGTGGTCGTTATTAAAAGTCGAGATTCGTGTTTTACTAATTTCAAAACAAGATCGAAATGTCCATATTTGATGGACTTCCTCATAATATAATATGAATCAGGTATGCAAAATAATGCAGGAAATTCTAAAACGTGCTCGGTTTCCTTGGAAATATCGAAGAGATGGTTTGTGTTTTTTGTGCAAGCCTTCAAACCAAATAATTTCAAATATTATCCCAAAGAGATGGATATGACGTTCCTTGTGCTGTGGGAAGGACATTTTTTACCATATAGAGAGTGACAATCGAAAAACATTTATATGTCCTAGTCGTATAAGTGGGCAAGAGTAAAATCCTTTTTAATGGAAAGACCAGCTTTGATATAAAAGCAAATATGAGGCCAAAAAAGATTAGGACGATTTCGTCTGTAATGAGGTCCACTTCTTTGAAAATGTTATCTATTTACTGAACTGGAATTATAAATTTCTATTCTGTTGGTAATCAATTTTGGTTCACCATTTGGTTTCGAAGTCCTAAAAAAGTCTGTTGGTAATCAATTTTGCTTCACCATTGGGTTTCGACGCCCTCAAAAAGTTATTGCAAACCATAGTCTCGCCTGAAAAGGTGTCATATTGAAGTTAGTGATAAGAAGAACAAACAATTTCATTTGTTTTACAAATTTGGCGATCACAGGAAAGTAGGAGTAGGCCTGGACCACCTCTTAGGCGAAAAAATAACGTCTAATCAATTTACTGAAGTCTGATCGTGAAATTTGCTACAGGTTTTGGAAACGAGATTTATTAGCCTATAGTGGACCTTTAAGACATATTTTTTCTTTTCTCTTCCAAATATTTTACAAATCTTCGACTTAAAATGTCGATTCTTCATGTTGTATATTCTATTCTTCGGCGATTAAATTTGAGTCCAACAAATACAAAATTTCGGCCTGAAGTTCTGCAGAAAAAGAAAGATTAAAAACTTCGAACAATTTCTGAGTTTGGTTGTGGTATACCTATCGATCTATCCTACCTATACATATTTAAAAATCTACCTTCTATCTAAAACAATTTTTTAAAATACCGGTAGGAAACTTTTTGTCTAGTTTTGAAAATGTGTGTCCTGTAAGAGGCGTAGTATGCACAAGAAATCTCCTAAATGATCCATAAAATTTCTTTCGTAAACACAGTCGCATTGATTTAGCTGCCTTGTACATAGCTGCACTTGTGATTTATCTGCCCAAACTTCACTTCTTTGGTACTTTTTCTCAAAATCCTACTTAAATATTTAGCTTAAGCACACAATTTATATCTGTATATTTAAAATAACAGCTCAGAATAATTGTACTTATGCCCTCCAACTAATTAATTTTTTTGCACTTTAGTTCCACAGGGAATATCAAATAAAAACAGTCCTCTTATCTTACCGTTAGAACAATAGTCCCTGTATTTCATTATTAGATACATAGCACTGATCGCGTATTCCAGAATATTTAACATTGCCCACTTTTCATGTAGAGATTTGAGTTTTGTGGACGCAGGTAAAATATTTATGATATCAGCCCTATTGACTTTCCTGCACAGAAATATTTGCAAATGTTGTTTGTGCCGGTAAGTCAAAACTACTGTAGTAAAAATTGATCATAGATGATTTTTCTCATGGTTAATATATTAAATATTGAAATTTAGTTTCCCAAATTCGACTTTTCATAACCGAATTTCGAATTTCTTTAAACAATTTTGATTTACTGCACTCAAAGTCGGCTTAAGCATCCCTAATCTGTTTTGTGTTTTGAGAGCAACTAAAAATAATAATCCATTCTCATATCACATATATTTATTAGTTGTTTTTTTTCTTGTTTAAAATATCGCCTGACTTTTGATCGTTTTGTGCAGTATTTACGAGAGACACGATCATATTTTTTATGGCTACTTACATGACTGCTTAACTTGTTGGCGTTGTTTTTGTTGCTGTGCAAATAATTATCCATGATATTGTTGTAAACAACAATAATTTCAAGGGAATTTCTCGCCATTAAAGCCGAACCTTGAGGGAGTTTTCTTCTTCGTCGTGAGATTAAACAGCCTCGCTTCACAATGACCCTTTCGTCTTCTGGTGAAGGTAATGGGAATTTCTCTGCTCACCGATATTTTGCAAAACGTGGAGTTTTGAATTGTTCTTCGTTCAGTTAGTCAATTAACAACTACAACAACAACAACGGCTACCAACATTTTGGGACAAAACATTTTTTCATTAACACAGATCGGCAATTACAATTCTTAAAGTTAAGAAAAAAAAAAATAGTGATATGGCCATAGGCGGGGTGTGCGTGCATGATGATGGCTTGTGGAAAAAAATGTTTAGAATTTCTGAGAATCTGTTCTTGAAGTCATGTAATTTTTTCTTAAATAAAAAAGAAAATACTTAAACAAAGATGTGAAGCTGAGAAATTACCATCACTACTGCTGCTGGTGGTGGCGATAAGAGTAGTCAGATAGTCTATTCCGTCAGTCACTTGTGCACTTTGCCTCGTTCGTTTCATGGTTCAGGGAATGCTTAACAATGTGTGTGTGTGTGTGTGTTTTTTCTCTCTAGAGATAAAGACAAAATACTTCAAGAATGAATATTAATTTTTATCTCAATTTTTGTATATTACATTTTGTTTTGTTGTTATTCGAGTGATGCTGGTTTCAGTGGTTTATGGGGGAATTTCAATGCATTCTTATCTTGGTTGTGTTGATCGTAAGTATTTTTAATACTACAGTAAATGTTGTTTTATTTATGGAATATGTATAGGAAAAAGTACTTTTATGTCATTAAAAGGTCAATTAAAATAAAAAAAGTCCCGGCATACTATAGATAAAAATTATATGCTTTACCATTTTCTATAAAATATATTGGTGTAGAAGTATTATTGAAAATAGTTATCAATTGTGGGGATTCTTTTATATCAGCAAAATGAGTTGAAATCGGATCGCTGTGGCCTACAATTCCTGAAAGTATTTTGATCTTGAATAATTTTTGATACTCCAAGAGTACAATTTTATATTTTATGGAGAAAATTGCACAGACCAGCTATGCTGTAAAGGAAATTATCTAATGATAAACTGAACTGAAGGTTTGAGAAGTTTTGGCCTATTAATTGGATGCACTTCTTTCTCAGAGAGAATATAGCTATGCTGTAAAGAAAATTATCTAAAAACCAACGGAAACTTTTGTCTATAAGAGGTTCACTTCTTCGTCGG